TATTTCATTTATTCACAAAAAATATTTCTCAAAATCAGCCCCAACCCACCCACTGGCTCAAACCCCAAGTTTGGCATCACATACGACCGAGCCCTGCCAAACTAACTTTCTCTGTTATCAAATACAATCACAAGGATATCAATAAATGCTGGCCTTAAGGTTCTAGGATGCTCCATGAACCATGAAATCCTGCATTGTCACATTACTGCTCAGTGGGGGAAGAAACTAAGACGCTGCGCTGCCTGAACACTTGTTCATCTGCCACTTAACATCTGATCTGAGGTGTCAGTGACTGTCTATCTTACTTATTAAATGAAATATAGGCTGTAATATACAATAGCACAATTGCAATAATAAAAATTGCTTGTTGAATGTATAGATTTGAATTAAGCACTGTAAAATGAAATGTTACTGCACTGTAATGGCAGACATCAAAAAGAGGGGTGTCAAATGAAATGTTACTGCACTGTAATGGCAGACATCAAAAAGAGGGGGGTGGGCAAGTAATATGCCTCATAAGTCTTCGCCAGTGAAGTGAAGCATGGCTGTGATGTTCACATTTAGGTTACTGAAATCGACAACATACTGATCCTCGCCTCCTCACTGCATCTGTCCTCCCTGAAGTGAGGTACCATGCATCCTGCTCTCCCCTCCTCCTCCTCCTGCTTGTCTGTTGCCATTCAAGGGTCCTTTTATCAAACAGAGCATTCTTGCTGCAAAGCCGGGGACCGTAAATCCTGTGTTACTGGCTCAAAGGACTTTGGAGACGGGACAAGGTTGTTTTGCCGGGTCCGAGGACAGCTGCTGGACACGCTGCAGTTGTTCCCGCTTTCTGTTGGGATGCGGATCTTCCCTGGGCATCTGCTTGCTGAGTAACAACGCTTGATTCCTCTGAAAGTTGCTGAAGGGCACGTCAATCAAGAACCTCGTCCTTGTTTCTCAGAGAACGCTGAAGTACCAGTACGGATTTAATTGATTTAATTGTGTGTTTTAAGTGTATAGAATGCAGTAGTTTGCAACAACAATTCCTAAAATGTTGGGCCACTTGGAAAGAAATAAATTAGTTAATTATTATAAACAGATGCATTGACAATGAACATAATTAGTTGCAGGCAGCCTTTTCCATTGGCTTTTAGATACTAAATGGAGCTCTGAATGCCATATTTGACGCTTGTTTACAAAAGTCCTGGCTTCAAATGTTTACCTCTATGAGGATGAATTGCCTACAAAGCCTTGTTAGTGTTATATAGTAAGTGATCGTGGCGCGAATAAGAAACTTCTCAGTCAAGTTGTTTGGGTAGTGGGTAGGGTTTCTAGTAAGTGTGTTTTGTTATGGAGAGCTGTCTCCCCCCTTCCCTGCCGCCTGTTTTCTTGGCTCTGGAGCTGTGGACAGAGAGGACTTTCTGTGTCTAAGTTGAATCAGCCATGCATACTGTAGACCACTATTTGTTAAGCCGTTCCTCACGTTGCACTAAATCAGAGCTCATCATTCTTTAGAGATGACTGGAATCTACTGTCATGGACTGCACATTTATATACAATATATTCCATCTTAATGATCATTGGTGAAGGAACAGGTGGCCTTCATTTCTTTATCTTGAAAAATGTATTTCTTAGAACATTAATGGAGTTTTTCATGCACAAAACAGCAGGAGATGAACATACAGTACAGCAACGGTGACTGCACGGCAACATGAGTCACAAAAAGCTCATAATGTTTATTATTATTATGAGACATTCGCCTTTCATTTCAAAAGAAAAGCAGAAAAACAGAAGCGATCCTGTAATATTTAAGGGAATCATTTCTTAAGAAAAGCACAAAATAAGGTGTATGATACAGGTGTCAAACTAATTAAGCTGGTTGCTAAGCTACAGATTCTGTATTCTTGCAAGCAGCTAAATGTGTCCACTTTGCTGCACAGGTGTAAAATACTCCTCAATGAATAGAAAATATTGTCACTGCCTATCAGTAGAAAAAGTACATTATGTACACATTGAGGTAGTTGTATTTCTAATAAGTATTTATTTTTATGCTACTCTATTTCTACTCCACTACATTCAAAATACTTTATTTTTTGGACAGCTGCAAATGAAAGTCACATTTATTTACAAAGCACTTTAGTGGTTTTAATGTATGGTTATAAGTTCACTGGAATCTGTTAAACAGTAAATGCAACATTGATCAGTATTGATGTCACATGTTCAAAGTCAGATACAAAAAAGATATTCTGGTGGAGTGTTGTTGTCTTTTAGCAGGACAACATTTGAAAAGAAAACAGGGTTGTAGTCAATTTACCTTAAATGTTATACTCGTGCAAATTATGCGATAGTAAAGTGCTGTTTAACTCAAAGTTGTTGAAACCTGTATAGTAAATATGACCGGGCCTTTCTTCTGTAACTGTATAAAAATGATATAAATAATGATGCATAGTGTTACCCATTTTCAAACTGCTTCTACGCCTTCATAGCTGCCTAAAATCTGACACCATCTTACTGCAAAATTACACAAACGCTACTGTTCATCCTGAATTTCACAATCATCCTGGCATAGTAAAACATGTGCAATAGATGTAAAATATAATACATTTTTACGTCAGCTTATTTTATGCAACATACAACCTGTTTACTTACAGTAGGCCTCTATTGACATTAGCATGTTGATGCATGCATGCAAAACAGCTTACTGACACATTGGGCATCTTTAGTGTGTGGAGGAAAGGAAGGGTGGACGATATAGTGCTTCCTGTGTTGTGGTAACTTCACCTCAGATCTATGAAATGTTGCAACAGATACGCAGTTCCTCTTTAAAATGTAGAAATAAATGTTCTGCATTGTCACAGTCCTTCTGCCGGTGCCCATGACACAAGACGTGACCCCAGACCAGAAATGCCCTGAGAAGTATGTCCTTGGATCTAAACTCTTTGATAAAAAAATGAAGGAGGGACACGTTGGGGAACGAAAGAATAGATTTCACATGTGAGGCTGGGGTGCATCCAATGGCTCCATGTGATTTGATTTGAGCAAAGAAGCCAGCAGGATCATATGACACTGGCTGTTCTTCTATGAGCTGTTTGGACGCAAATCCAGAGACAGAAATTGTCACATTCAGACAAATTCCCCTCAAAATAATGCCATATTGTCACTGCTGGAACTTCTCCCCCATAAACACCTTCTCTCATGTAGACTATTGAAGAGCTTTTGTGTCTTACTTGTTAACCACATGAACTCAGACCTATATGTGACAGCTGACAATGCACACACTCAGTCTGACCCCAGCAGCAAGAATGTGAAGAAATGTGGAAGTAAGTCTTTCATTGTGTGCTGTACATAGAGCTTGACTGAGGTTTTAGTTAAATAGTCTGTAACTGCTGACGAAGCCGTAAAGGGAAAAAAGCTTGCTTCTTCTCAAGAAATAACTCTTTAGATGGCATGCTGCTATCATGATAAGCTTACAATGACACCATTACCACTTCTTATAGTTTTCACTCAATATGCTTTCGCTGGTTAACACATTTTACCCCACCTGTCTGTCAACTTCAATGAAATGGACTTGCTCACTTTCTTTTAGAATTTATATTAAAATATACCAATCGCCAGTGGGATAATGTAACTAAGTAGATTAACTTAAGTACTGTATTTAAGTACAATTTTGAGGTACTTGTACTTTACTTGACTATTTCAATGTTATGCTACTTTGTACTTCTACTCCACAATTCAGAGGTAAATAGTGTACTTTTACTCCACTACATGTATTATGTCCTTTAATTGCTTTAAAGATTTTGATTAATAATGTGAAATATAAACACACTTAATAAGACTTTAGTTTCACCTGGAGTAAATTCACAAGCTACCCTGCTTTGCCAGCTTTGATAAACACATTGATGCATCAATAAGTATAATCAAAACATATAATATATATCATTTTGAAATGGACCAATCTGCATAATAAGTACTTTCATATTTGTTATGCTAATACTTTTGTACTTTAACTTGAGTAACATTTTGAATGCAGGACTTTTACTTGTGTATTATTCCTACACTCTGGTACTTTTACTCAAGTACAAGATCTAAGTACTTCTTCCACCTCTGCCAAAGTGTGTACTTTAAAGCTCAAAAGTGTACTTATTCTCTTACTTGCTGAGAGTGATAGATAACAAGATCGATACCACCTATGCATGTTTCGACACATATAAAGCATTAGTGAGCAGCAGGCTAGCTTAGCATAAAGAATGTGACAGAGGGAAAAAGCTATCGCCTAGATCTGTGAAAAGATAAATAAAAACTGCTTTCCTAAAGCTCAACTATTAGTCGGATTTAACTCCTTTGTTTAATTTGTACCTTGGAAGAAGTTAAGAGCTGTAATAATTTATTGTATTTATTTCAGGTTTTTAAAGTTTGGGATAAAGATTTAGGCTAACTGTTGTACCCCTTTTTCGGGTTTTTACAGGCACAGTTCAAAATCAAATGTTCATGTTTTTCTTCTGTCTCTAACATTTGTCAACTCACTCCAAAATAATGGCACTACAGATAGAAGGAAAATATGTATCTTTGATTTGGTCTTTGATCCTACCAAAGGCAGCAGTAAACCTAGCTCAAATATAATTCAGTTTAAAAGGATGTAGCCTACAGAAAACACTTGAGAATGAAGAAAGGTGATTGAAGATGAGAAATTATTGTAAATGTATGTATAAATGTAAATATGTAAGTAGGAATGACTTGCAGAAATGATTTAAAGGATAATCATTGATCAGCAGTAAGTAAGGGGTGGGAATTAATAAGCATTTGCTTCCTCCTGCTCCCTTTCAGACACATATGATTTATTATGACTATTTGTTGTTGAATATATAAATATTATTATGAATATTGATAAATACTGTATTCTAACAATACGGTATTCTGTTCTTCACATTTGTTTTTGTTTTATTTGTTTTTTTTTAATCTGTTCGAAATAAAGATGGAAATGAAAAATGAAATTGTCAAAAATGTTATGATAGCCTCAATTAATAAACATCTTTCAGTTTATTCCAAATTACACTGCAGTGTCAAATTGGTATAATATGAAGTTGACAGAGGAACAAGTTACATTTGAAGTAAGTTAAGTTTAGCATTTTAATTACAATTAAGTCTATGTGATGATTTTATCTCATTACAAATTAAACAAAATGGCGGTTTAATGCTTTAAATGTGTAGCTTTATTAATAGAAACAGTTTATACAGCAAACATTTACTCAATGAATATACACTTTTCTAAGTTTTTAATGTTTCAATGTGCACACTTATAATAGGGATTTCTTTTAACCTATATTTAGTGTTTGATTAAAATTGTCCCACCACCAAATCAGCTAAGAGAGAAAACTAACAGAGTGGCTGCTAAAGATCCAAATATTTTATCTAGAATTTTTGAAGATCATTCCAGACTTGCTAACTTCAGGTTATAAAGCAGACCACTACAGAGAGAATAACAGAAAACCAATGAAGGTGCTGTGGGTATTCTGATTATCATGAACCCAGGTGTTCTTCCAGAGTTTCATGTACACCTGGTCTCCCACTTCAAGCTGCAGAGTCAAGCCGTTGGTTGCCGTCTCATGGCGGTTTCCAGCTGCATGGTTGTACACAATAACCATCTGCTCTCCATTCTTCATCAGGCCCAGCCCCATTGGTTTAGATGAAAAAGTATGACCAGAGAAGCTGAAGTAATAGACTCCTTTGACAGGAGCAGTGAAAATACCTGGGGATGAAAAAGAGAGAAAGTTACTGTTAATCTGTTGTGCATTGAGCCTTAAGGCCCTGACACACCAAGCAGTCACCAGAGAACTCGCCGACGCCGACTGTTGCGTCGCCGTGTTCTCCTGCGTCTTGGCCATGTGTCTCACTGGAACACACCGCAAAGACTTCCGCCGAGCACGTACGAACTGCATGCGTGAGTGGCAATAACTCTCCTTACCAGCAGGCGGCGGTAGTGTGTATTCGTCATTCAAAAGAGGCAACAACCGGAAGACAGAGAAGAAGAACAGACTGCGTGATCTAAACAAACAATAGCGTGTGCGTTCCATTTTCACTCTCGTCCATCGAAAACATGTTTCGTGCGGTACTGGAGCTATCAGCCATTGGAGTGTTGCTTGTGAAAACATTCTTAAGCAACCGTTTCGCTTCTCATGCACTGTTTCGCTAAATGGTGTTCCCAACTCCCCTGATCTGAGAATCAACGCACTAGCCCACTGCGCCATAGCTGAATGTCCTCCTAGTGCACCATTGTGTTTTATTAAACCAAATATCTCTCAGAGGGGCGTGGGGAGTGGCTCCTTATTTTCATCTAAAGTAACAGACCCAGAATCATCACTTCTTAAACAGGGCTGAAACTGGATTATGGGATGCTACAATGATCTGTTTGGTATTTCGAGCCAAACACTTCAGAGACATGTTTTGTATATATCTGAGACCTATAATATGTTATTGGAAAAGAGTATAATAGGGGACCTTTAACACACATCATGTTGCTCAGTTTACCTGTTCCAGGGTTGTATGCGCCGGTGTTTGTGAAGACCTTCTTGTAGGTCAGTGTGATGTCAGCGTTGAAAGGTCCAACATCTCCAATGGGGCCTAAAGTTGCTCCAAATGCCACATGCTGACCTTGAAAGGTTACATAAAAACATTTTTGTTTAAAAAGTGTCATCAAGTTGAAAACAATGCAAGCCATAGGCCTACCTAAAATAAATGAAAACATAGTGTCCATTTACTTTATATTCTTACCTTGATCTGCCCTCAGATCCTCTACTTGTTTCTCAGTGTCTTTCAGTTTGGTCTTCAGGCTCTCTATGGTGTGAGGGAAGAGTGAAGAAAATATCTCACATATCCAGATACTGAAATAGACTAAATGCTCTGCCTCTCACACTGTACACTGCGGACACAGCAGACACACAGAGGTGCTCTCAGTCCCCCCACATTCATCCATTGTATTTTCTCCATTTAGCTAGATACACTTAGGCCAATGAATTCAATATGTGTGCATCCACTTTGTGATTATTTCTATAAGGCTGGGTATTTGTATTCTAGGTGAAAGAAATGACTAACTTAATAAGACTTTATGCTGATCAGGCCTTAATGCTGATATCAAACTGAAATGTTTCCTTGGATACTGATGCTGTCTCCTCTCTGTCCTCCAGAAGGCAGGCAAGTACAACTGAGGAAAATAAAAGCTGTACAGTCCTATCAATATGCTTCCATTCAAGCAGCCTTTAATAAAGCATTTCAGGATTCTTTAAACTGCAGATCTGTGCTTACATAAACCAACCTCCTGTTAAATCCTGTGAACAAGTGTTTTTATAATTGAGACATAAAACAATAAATCATGAATAGTTCCTAGTGTGAAATCAATATATGTTTTGGATTTCGGATTGTAAACATTGGTGCGTCGATTATATATTGATTGTGTCTGATGTTATTTACACTGGTAGAAGATCACATTACTTAGTACAATGTTGAGGTACTTCCTATTTTATGCAACTTTATGCTTAATTTCTGAGTTAAATATTTAACTTTTTTCCTTTGCCTGGTTATTTGACACTTTTCGTTACTTTGCAGATTAAGATGATTGATATAAAATATCAATCAACTAATCAATGATGATGTTTTATAATACATTAAGCTTCCCAGCAGTATTTATTCAAAATTACTCTACCTTAAACAGCTACAACATTAAAGTGATGAACACATGAATGCCTCAATAATTATAATCCAACAACATAATATAGATTTCTCTGAAACTGGCTATTCTGCCAAATGTATTCCTATTACTTTTTGTTATTTAATTTTTTATAAAGCTGATACTTTTATAATTTTCCTTCAGTCACATCGTGAATGACACAACCCATTTTCCGAGGGGTAAATTAAGTTAACAAGCCATATATAAAGTTTTATATAAATATATAGATACAATATTATGAAATAGGTTATCCTCCTAAATTAATTCTATAAGTATATTTTGATGCTAATTAATTTACACTTTTACTTATTTGAATTTGAATGCAGGACTTTTACTTGTAACAACGCACTTCTACACTGTAGTTTTAGATTTTGTCTTGTAACATTTTAGTGCAGAAGTGAGAAGATAGTTTTTTGTTCTCATGTGTTTCTTGAAAAAGAGACATCATTGTCAACAAAACCACCTGCTTGCGTATACTTCAACATTACAAGATTTTCTGCAGCATAAGGGTAATGCATTATACGAAATACCAACTACTGTGTTGAAAGATAAATGCGATCATGAATCGTCTAAAAAATAGGTTTGTCTTTTCTTACCGGTCATCTGCTTGTGATCCATCAACTCTTTTTCAGTCTTTGTCAGTCTGGCCTCCATCTCTTCAATTTTGTTGTCAATGTTTGTCCAAAGATAAGGGTTGAGTGCCTGGTACACAGGCAGGTAGAGGAGGCAAAGAGCCAATGCAGCAACCAAAGTCTTCATATTTGAGTCTTGGTGGACCTGTACTAAATCAACAATGCTTTATATACCATCCCGAAGAGGAAATGTTCTTGCTCTTGCACAAGTTTTAGTAAGCTCACATACCTGGCTGCAGGGGCGGACTGGCCATCTGTAGAATCTGGAGAACCACAGAACGGCCGGTCCTCAAGGGCCGTTGACGGCCGGCCGGCTGGCCCTTTAAAACAATTGTTTAACGTCATCATTTAAGTTGCGCTGACGGCCTTTTTCTCATAGTGTTAGTGTTTTAGTTACCATTTAAATATTGAATTCTATTTATTACTTTTATTTTAAATCAAATCTACCTGTTTTAGATAATATATTTATTTTGAGGTTGATTTGCAGGTTGGTTGTTATTTGTATTGTTACTGTGTATTTTATTATATTAACTACTATTTATTGCTATTTATAAAATACTGTTATGAACACTATACAATGTCTTTATTTTTGTAGATACCAGAATACATGACACAATGAATCTTTGTAATATATTTATGTTCTCTAGTTTAAATAATCATACCAGTATTTAAACAATGTATGCTGGTCACCTGGAATCCTGCTAAGCTTCCAGCATGGTATGTTTAATACTATTATTTATTAAACATAAACTGGTGATAGATGGATGCTGTTTTTTTTAGCTGGCCAGGATGGCTGGTTTAGCTGGTTTAGCTGGTTCAGCTGGTGCACCAGCTAAACCAGCCATCCTGGCCAGCTAAAGTGTCCAAAACCCCTCTAAACCAGCCAGTCTGGTCAACTCAGCTGGTCAGGTTGGTTGACCAGCCTGACCAGCTAAGTTGGTCGACGCTGTTTTTTTCAGCAGGGTAGACGCCGCGGCAGACAGGGAGAATGAAAAAACATGGATAAAAATCAGAGAAAACGAAAAGAAAAAGGTGGGGCTGAGAAGGCAAGAGAAAAAAGGTGAAGTCACTCGCAGGTGAAGCATATAAATGTCGCAAATTGACAGACCTTTTTGGCAGCTGCGCTGCTACAAGCACTATCATCAGCAGAACAAGTGCAAGATAATGAAGAGAATGATGAGGGCGCGAGTTCAGATATACAGCCAGCCTCCTGCGTTCATGATGAGGGACAGAGAGTTGAGATGGTGGAAGAACCAGCTCAACTGGCACATACAAGTGCAGGGCAAGAGCAAGAAGTGGATGACAATTATCCCTTGAACTGCATGAATGCAGCCTAATAAACAGCTGATTTCTAATAACTAATAGTACTGTATTTTTTTTTTCTGATGCCCCCCCGTTCACATTTCATGTGGCCGGACTGGGTCAGTTTCCAGGGCTGAATTCTAGTCCCAGTCCGCCCCTGCCTGGCTGCATTCCATTTTTCGCCCAGCCTGGGTCCTTCCGCACTATAAACAGGAGCTGCGTTTCACTTCTCTTATTTTTCATTTCCTCGCTCCTCGGTCTCGGTCTCACCGGAAGTTGATTTGTCTGCGCCATCTTGAGTAGCGTCCCAATGGCCTTCTTTTTGCCGGAGGACCGAGGATCGAGGAGCGAGGAGCGATAATGGAGGAGCTATAATCGAGGAACCACCAGACCATCCTTCGATGAAATCCTCAGATACTCGCCCCGCCCCCTTACTGTGTATCGCTCACTGATTGGACGATGCAGCGCATGCAATGATCTGATGCTTCTTGACATGAGAGCAGTTTCCCAGCGGAGTGAAGAAAACACATGAAACTCACGGGACTCACTCCTCAGTTCATACAGTGTTTTGTTTCAATGAATGCATCATTCAGTTACAAATATGTGATATATCTGAACAACAAAGTGGACAAAAATCATTTCATTCATTTATTGGAAACATTTTCGTGATCGCTTTTTTCGTTTTACATTTTCATTTATTGTCATTTCCATTCAGTCAGTCATTCAGTGCTATTTAACATGTTAATTTGCTACATATCCACACAAACAAACTAAGTGTGCAATCCAATGAATGTTAATCTAACTGGGTTTTGATAGATAACATATCTCTTTTTCTTCTCTCAATTCTTTTATTTATATTGTGCACTCTAATCAATATTAATCAAACTAATATTCGTTTATACATTTTAAGAATGGCGTTTATCTTTTTTGAGAATTAGTTCTTATTTGATTTTATTTATTTGGGTCTACAACAGATGATACAAATGTTTGTGTCAGTAAATGTGTACTAACAGAGGCGGGGGTGTTTGTGAAAATAACGGGGACAGAGCTGGCTGCTGTCAGACGATCAGCTGTGCGGCGTCATCACAAACGGACGTCGCTTCACGTGACGCTCCGGGGGAAAGGACGTCCCATTGCTCTTAAAACTCATTTCCCTGCTTCTCGTGGTTTCCTTGCGTCTCTCCATGCTTCCCTGGTGGGAGGGACTAGTCGCAGGGAAACGACGCAAGTGAGGGACGCAAGGAATCCATTTAACCGAAGTGAAACGCAGCCATTGTTGGCAGAACCCCACGGCGGTGTCGCCTTTTGAGTTGCATAAATAAATGTGCCGTTGCTTAACGGAAATCCACGTGCCGTGCGTCTCCCTCTCTTCTGTTGTGGCCTGCGAGCCGGTCGTAACACACACAAAGACGGAAATGCCACTTTAATTTACCAGAAAATAAAAAGCGTTTTTCCTATCATCTGATGAATCATAACAAATAAACTGATAACAAGAATATGATAAGAGAGTACCTGGCCAAAGGTGTCTTTGTTTATTACCTTATTTACCTTTGTCAAAACAATCATTGTTTTGTATTAGCCATCTTCTTTTTGCATTAGAGATAAGGAAAGGCTGGCTAGACACTTCTATATTTCAGCATTAGTCATTAAAACTGTATCCTCAACTAATTGCCTTTGCAACTTGCCTCATTCAAATTCACCGAACACAAATATAAAGGCAACACTTTTGTTTATGCTCCTATTTGTCATGAGCTATCTACACAAAAGGCCAGCAGGATCATATGACACTGGCTGTTCTTCTATGAGCTGTTTGGACGCAAATCCAGAGACAGAAATGGTCACATTCAGACAAATTCTCTAATTTCCCTAAAAATAATGCCATATTGTCACTGCTGGCACTTCTCCCCCATAAACACCTTCTCTCGTGTAGACTATTGAAGAGCTTTTGTGTCTTACTTGTTAACCACATGAACTCAGACCTATGTGACAGCTGACAATGCACACACTCAGTCTGATCCCAGCAGCAAGAATATGAAGAAATGTGGAAGTAAGTCTTTCATTGTGTGCTGTACATAGAGCTTGACTGAGGTTTTAGTTAAATAGTCTGTAACTGCTGACGAAGCCGTAAAGGGAAAAAAGCTTGCTTCTTCACAAGAAATAACTCTTTAGATGGCATGCTGCTATCATGATAAGCTTACAATGACACCATTACCACTTCTTATAGTTTTCACTCAATATGCTTTCGCTGGTTAACACATTTTACCCCACCTGTCTGTCAACTTCAATGAAATGGACTTGCTCAATTTCTTTTAGAATTTATATTAAAATATACCAATCGCCAGTGGGATAATGTAACTAAGTAGATTAACTTAACTACTGTATTTAAGTACAATTTTGAGGTACTTGTACTTTACTTGACTATTTCAATGTTATGCTACTTTGTACTTCTACTCCACAATTCAGAGGTAAATAGTGTACTTTTACTCCACTACATGTATTATGTCCTTTAATTGCTTTAAAGATTTTGATTAATAATGTGAAATATAAACACACTTAATAAGACTTTAGTTTCACCTGGAGTAAATTCACAAGCTACCCTGCTTTGCCAGCTTTGATAAACACATTGATGCATCAATAAGTATAATCAAAACATATAATATATATCATTTTGAAATGGACCAATCTGCATAATAAGTACTTTCATATTTGTTATGCTAATACTTTTGTACTTTAACTTGAGTAACATTTTGAATGCAGGACTTTTACTTGTGTATTATTCCTACACTCTGGTACTTTTACTCAAGTACAAGATCTAAGTACTTCTTCCACCTCTGCCAAAGTGTGTACTTTAAAGCTCAAAAGTGTACTTATTCTCTTACTTGCTGAGAGTGATAGATAACAAGATCGATACCACCTATGCATGTTTCGACACATATAAAGCATTAGTGAGCAGCAGGCTAGCTTAGCATAAAGAATGTGACAGAGGGAAAAAGCTATCGCCTAGATCTGTGAAAAGATAAATAAAAACTGCTTTCCTAAAGCTCAACTATTAGTCGGATTTAACTCCTTTGTTTAATTTGTACCTTGGAAGAAGTTAAGAGCTGTAATAATTTATTGTATTTATTTCAGGTTTTTAAAGTTTGGGATAAAGATTTAGGCTAACTGTTGTACCCCTTTTTCGGGTTTTTACAGGCACAGTTCAAAATCAAATGTTCATGTTTTTCTTCTGTCTCTAACATTTGTCAACTCACTCCAAAATAATGGCACTACAGATAGAAGGAAAATATGTATCTTTGATTTGGTCTTTGATCCTACCAAAGGCAGCAGTAAACCTAGCTCAAATATAATTCAGTTTAAAAGGATGTAGCCTACAGAAAACACTTGAGAATGAAGAAAGGTGATTGAAGATGAGAAATTATTGTAAATGTATGTATAAATGTAAATATGTAAGTAGGAATAACTTGCAGAAATGATTTAAAGGATAATCATTGATCAGCAGTAAGTAAGGGGTGGGAATTAATAAGCATTTGCTTCCTCCTGCTCCCTTTCAGACACATATGATTTATTATGACTATTTGTTGTTGAATATATAAATAATATTATGAATATTGATAAATACTGTATTCTAACAATACGGTATTCTGTTCTTCACATTTGTTTTTGTTTTATTTGCTTTTTTTAATCTGTTCGAAATAAAGATGGAAATGAAAAATGAAATTGTCAAAAATGTTATGATAGCCTCAATTAATAAACATCTTTCAGTTTATTCCAAATTACACTGCAGTGTCAAATTGGTATAATATGAAGTTGACAGAGGAACAAGTTACATTTGAAGTAAGTTAAGTTTAGCATTTTAATTACAATTAAGTCTATGTGATGATTTTATCTCATTACAAATTAAACAAAATTGCGGTTTAATGCTTTAAATGTGTAGCTTTATTAATAGAAACAGTTTATATAGCAAACATTTACTCAATGAATATACACTTTTCTAAGTTTTTAATGTTTCAATGTGCACACTTATAATAGGGATTTCTTTTAACCTATATTTAGTGTTTGA